GCTGGGGAAATGTAGGGATGGCTCCACCCATGGTAAATGGCAAAGCAGTGGCCCCCAGCAGACCAGGTGAGACACCTTCCTCTGAGCCTGGATGAGAGCCTGCAGGTGCTCCATGGAGGGGCAGAGGCCAAGGCACTGATGGCAAATGCCTGGAGTGTCAGGCTGGGTTTGGGCATGACAACAGCCACCTAACACCCAGGATAGGAAATGGGGCCCCACAAATGTGGGAAGAGTCAGGGGAGTTAGGTCAACATGGCTATTGCCATGGATCAGGGTACTGTCACTGAAGACCTCGGCCTCAAGTGGCTCAAAGCCTCATAGAGTCCAGGCAGCTGGCAGAATCCCACCGACTCACTCCACAGCAGCAGCAAGGGCTCCAGGAGGCCCGAGGAAGCTCAGCAGACCTGTATCTGCACAAACATGGGCACCACCATCAGCCCCGGAACGATGGCTCTCCTTGTTGTCACAGTGCGTCTTTTCAGGTGACTCTTGTAAGAAGGGACCGTGGGGAACATGATTGCTCCCTGTCACCCAGAGGGACCCATGGAGTACTAGGCACTTAGGGTGTTCGGCAGCACTTACCTTCCTGCTCCCTGTGCGGCGCGGGCACTGGGATGGAGTCTGTGCTCCTGGGGAGGCCTTACGCCGAGGCGGGGTGGGCCTGTAGGCCCAGCTCTCTCTGACTCCCCACCTGGCTGTGTATGCCTACGTGTTCACGAGTTTCTCTGCATATCTGGGCCAAGGCCAGCTGCTAGTAAACAGTGAGTTATTAATTCTGCACTGACTAAGCTTTTGGTTTTCCTTCCAAACTTTCTGGTGAAATAGAATCTATATAAGAACCTTAAGGTGCAGTTATGGAACAAGTGTGAGCCAAACCACATTGTGATTAGTACTTGGGTAACTGTGCTGAGGAGGCTAAATGAGCAATCCCGCCCCTTTCTATCCTTGCTCTTTGTAAACCTTTTTCCTCTCCCTGAACTGTTTCATGGGTGTACATATTCTACAGCTCTTTAGATCACGCTAGGATTTCATAAATAGGTGCTGTCTTCTTTGTTGTCTTCCTCATGACTTAGGTAAATGTGTTGCAGGTGAGGACACACCTTTCTTCTCCAGTTGAACCCTGACCCAAATATCCTTACTACATTTGCCTCATAGTGTTTATTTAAATATTGCTCCAAATGCTATTTTCTTTTCATCTGATATGTTATCATACATTCCTACATATTTAAGCTGTTAATCCATAAAATAACTTATTTTTCCATGTACATTTTTTCATATATATATAGTATTTCAAAAATAGAAAACATTACCTTATCACACTTCAGTTATGGAAACCATTTATTTTTTTCCACAGGGTTGGAGCAATGTTTCTTTAAAATACTGTATGGGGGATAGGTATTAGAAAACAATTCATCAAATTTCTTTTATGATTCAGCAATGTGAATCCTATTGAGTTTGGCTCTGAATTTTGAAGCTGAGCATGTGATGTATTTCTCAGCCTCACCAACATTTATTTATACTGGCTATTGCTTGTAGGATTGTATATTTTTCTCAGCAATTTTAATAAACTACCAGGAACAAGTTGTACCTCGTGAGCATCTAATGACATATTCAGTACATCTTGACTCAGCAAAAACGCTTCAGTTTTTTCTACAAGGCAAGCATTTGGCTGTAATACAAGTGCGCGAACAGGGCAGATAATTCAAAGTCAGGAATGGAGCTGGGTCCCAGACTTCAGTGAACAGCAAGATAACTGGTGATAGTGCTGTCGGCCTCTTAAAGATGTGCAAATCCTCTCCCAATATCCTACCACTGCCTTTCCTGCAAGCTCGGTTCCATAAACAAATCCCATTATTGCAGTTTGGCTGGATGTCCACTATGCAGAGTTTTCTATAATGCCTACTATGACCTAGTGTGACCAAGTGGAAAAGTCATTTACTCCTGAGGGGGACTAGGAGGTTGGCGTCAGGCCCCTGAGAGCCTTGCACCTGCTGGCTGAGTGTGCCAGGCTGCAGGGTCCCCTGGCAGCGTCACTGCCCTGCCCTTGCTGGCTCCCAAGTGAGAAGGGCTGGCTTGTTGGCTACTAGTTACATCGCTGGCTGTTGGTCCAAAAGTGCCAAGTCCTGGGTTCCTTTCCTGTGTCACACTTGTGCCGTGTGTAGCATAGATGTACCTGCAGGGTCACCGACTTGGGTTGTGGGAACATAGGAAAGCAACAAGAACTTGAAGCTCTGCCATAATTCATGAAGTCATGAGTTATGAGCCAGGAGTCTTCCATCTTCCTCCAGCCCCATGAACTAGTAACAGGCCAGCATATTGCTTCTAACTTGGGCAAAATACCAGACCCTTCATATTTTTATAATGTGCTTTGTTTATGGCTATTACAGTGCTGCTTTTCTGTAGCAGCCAATAGTAACAATAGTGAAGACTGCAGCAAGGCATTTTGAGCACTTCCTGTGCTGGCTTTGCACTGGTCTTGATGGTAGTATGGCGGTGTGCAGTGGGAAGTGAACAAGAGTCTAGACAGCAGCTAAAGCCTGGCGTGAAGCTTCTGTGATGTCATTGAAGTCCCAGTCTCCTGACTGTACTGCCACTTTTAGCCTGTGGCTCTGTTTTTTCCTCAACCCCTCCCAGTTTCTCCTCCAACATCTGATATCTCATCCCCCTACATGCTCTTGCTTCTTGCTTCACTTGGAAAATTGAAGAGCTCTGAAGACAGCCTCCACGTCTCCTCCAGGCAGAGCAGGTTTTGCCCTCCATCTATTTCTACCAGAACTTCCTGAGGTGCAGACCCGTGGCCAGCTCAGCGCCATTGCCCAGAAACTTGGCAATTCCCAAGTCTCTCCAAAAACACATGCATTAGAACTCTGGAGGGGGTCCCCCACTGGAATGCAATCTCCAGGCTTGTCCTTTGTTCCAGTTGACACCGAGAACAATGCCTGGAGCATCGTGGGCTTTTGATGATGTTTGCTGACTTGAGCGTTTCCATGTCATGGCCACCAAGCAGGGCACTTCCTCCCATTACACACTTGCATTTCAGGCAGGAAAAGGAAGATGAAAACAAAGATGAAAAAGAAGAAAGAGAAGGAGGAGAAGAGGGGAAGAGGAGGAAGAAGAGGAGAAGATGGAGAAGAAGGAGAATGGAGAGCTGGGATTGAACTCTGGTCTCTGGCTCCATCCTGTTGTTGACAATGACCCCGTGCAGTTGCTAACGACCCCACCCCCCCTAATTAATCCAACCAACTAACACCTGTTTTTCGACACTAATCTTGATAAAACATTATCTTAGATACTATGAATGAATATATTTGACACTTTTTGCCATTATGAATTCTATATTCCCATAGTCACTAAAAGATATAATCACATGAAAAGATGACGGACAAATTAATTATCCAAGAAGTCTATGCTTTCAGAATTCAGAGAAAGAATCCACCCGGGGCCAGGATGAGGAGATATCAGAAAAGAGGTGTGGTTTTATATGGACTTGGAGAACGGGCTCATGGGGAGGAATAGGGAGGGATGTTTAGGTAGCAAGAAAACCATCTGTGTCTTGGCAGAAATGATGAGTGTCCTTGGGCAGGACAAAATCTGAGAAATAGTCCTGGGGAGATTAATCATAATCTTAATGCATACTGACACAAATGGAGATGGATGATTTTAATAAGCATGCTGCTGGTGGATACACCAATTAGTAAGGTGGATGGACGTGAATTCATAGCCATCACATTGTATTAATAAGAAGAAAATTATTTGGTTGGTAAAATCAGGGATGCAGAACCCTCTGAAGGCAAGGACCATGATCTCTGTACAGTAGTTACCTCCTTCCAGGGCACTGCCTGCATGGTACCTCCAGATCCTCAATTTGCTGGGTAGACTGTAGTTGAATGTATCAGACTTTAGAAGCTGTCACATATATAATGACTTTTTTCAAGTTATCAATGCGTTTGTTTGTTTGTGTGTGCTCTTTATGTTCTATGGCAATTCCAGATGCCTTGTTTTGTTCTATGGACGGCCCATGGTGTTATGGCATCCGTAGTTGATTGACAAGGTGACTGCATGACACTGTCCCTGGGCAGGTCTAACAGGCCCAGCCACCCTGCCAAGTTCCTCTGTCTTAGAGGAGTCTTGGTCAACCAGGACCCCAACCCATGCAATATAGTGTCGACAGCTGCACCTCATTCTTTACACTTGGGCCAGAAGCTCTATGTGGTGGATGGGGAATTCCTGTTTTTCCATCCACCTGTGCAGGTAAAGGCTTGTGGCTTTTGCCACAGTTGGTTAGTGCCACATGTTGTGTTCACCTGGATGTCCCCTCTCACTACCTGTTCCCTCCTTGGTGAGGTAGACTGTCTTGGGGAGCCCCTAGTTGTCCTCATGCAGGAGAGCAGGGGGTGCTGTGCACAGGCGTCTGAGTGGAGAAGCCCATGAGCAGAGTCCCCGTCCCCTCTGCACTGTCAGTGGTGGAGAATGCGCTTCTCGGGACCTTGCTGTCATCCTCAGCCTAGTCACGTGTCTGGTTGTGCCATGGGTGTCCTCTGGGCTGAAACCTTTCCTGCTCCCCCAGTGTGATACCTGAGGCAGCAGTCCTATTTCAAAGAGCAAAATGATTCTCATTTCAGAAAATCCCGCCTGTGTGTCCCTTCCCTTTCCAGTACCTCGGAAACATGGGACACTTAGTGGGGCTGATGCTGCTAGCTGGTGCCTGAGACGGGTTGTTGTCATGGTTTAGACATGAGGTGTCTCCAAAAAGCTCACATGTGAGACCATGCAAGAAGGTCTAGAGGAGCAATGATTGGCCATGAGAACCTTAATCCAATCAGTGATGAGTCCTCTGATAGGATTAACTGAGTGGTGGCTGAAGGCAGGTAGGGTGTGGCTGGAGGAGGTGGGTCATTGGGGGTGTGATTTATGGGGTATATATTTTATATCTGGTGAGTAGAGTCTCTTTCTCTGCTTCCTGATCATCATGTGAGCCCTCCACTACATTCTTTCCCCAGGATGTTCTGCCTCAACTCAAGCCCCAAGGGAATGGAGCCAGCTATCTATGGACTAAGACCTCTGAAATGGTGAGCCTCCCAAATAAACTTTTCCTCCCTTAGAATTGTGTTTGTCAGGTCTTTTAGTCATGCACTCTGAGAAATGGCCCCTGGCATCACTTAGGGATGCGACTGAACTGCCTGGGCTTGGGTGGAACGAGCCAAGGCAGCATCTAGCATTTCTAGTCCAGTGAATTCTCACCCCAGCCAAATTGTATATTTTCCCTCCTGATCCTGATTTCATAATTTAATTCCAAATGAACACTTAAACACTTTGTTAATCCCACACAATGAATTTTGGGGTTAAATAAAGATTATTTTCAGTCTTTGAACTTCACTTGTTGATTGTGAAATATGAGACAGTGGGGGCTGACATGATTGTAAAACCTAAACGTTGTATAAAATCTACTCTGGTGCTTAACTCTAGGGCCACAAAGCAGGTCGATGGCAATGACTTGGCTTAACCTGTGGAGCTAGGATGAGTTTGCAATAAGTCGGCAATAACATAACTTATACCTGGTGACAAAGTAGCAAGAGAACCTCAAGAAGCAAATATTTTATGTAATAAAGTAACCAGGTGTTGTGGGGCAGGTGCTCAGAGAACACAGCATGTCCACACATGTGGACGCAGATTGTCTCCCATGCACTAGAGGGGAATGCAGTGTGCCATCCCAATCCATGAAGCTCTATTTCTAACCCATGGAACTGTGGGCAGGAAATCTGTGCTGTTGGAGTCACTGTGTTGATGGTAGTTTGTTACAGCAGTTGGACAGGAATACAAAGAGACCATGCCTGAGCTGCTCAGCAAGCGTCTCTACTTCCTGACACATGCATACTTTTGGATGAATGAATGAGGGAATGAAGGAGTAAAGCCACTTGCTATTCAGAATCACATCAACTGGAATCTGATTGACGGGTACTTTTGTGGATCTACTGTCTCAGGCAAATGGGGTTCAATTTACTGGCCTTAAAATATTACAAAGTCCAGAAACACCTACTTCAGAAGTCAAGTGCTTGTGGGAGGCAGCACTGGGGACTTTAAAGCAAGGCCAAAGTGGCCTTGGATCCCAACTGTGTTGCTGGGAAATTACCCAACCTCACAGGTCTCTTCAGGCTCCCAGGGAGCAGATGCAAACACACTCTTTAGAGGTGTTCCCAAGGTGGGATAAGATGAGGTCTGCGTTCCCTCTTTACTGTGTTTGCTGAGTGCCTCCCAGGTGACAGGAGCTGTTTTAGGCCCCGGAGCTACAGTGATGACCAAGGACAGAGTTAATCTGGTAGTGCCCCACTGAGGGTCTTCTGCAGGAGGACCACTCTGCCCTGGCCCCCTGCCCTCCCTCACTTTCCCCAGGAGGAGTAGACAACTTATCTGACGGATGAACTGGGAAGAAGGAGCTGCCCCAGCTCAGCACTTGCTGCCCCTGAGCTCCTGGGTGGATGCTGCTCCTGCAATGAAGCAGGCCTCCAGCACACCAAGCTGTCTCCCACGAGCACTTGACACACTCCAACCTGGGAACAAGCGACTGGGAAGAGGAACTTCCTCCTGGGCCTGGTGGAGCCTGTTGCTCTCCCCATCTCAGGGCAGCTTCCCCATCTCAGGCTGCAAACGCTCCATGTGCTCACCCGGACGCCTCGTGGGTGCCCACGCAAGCCACCTGGGAGAGGCCCTGACTGCCCTTGCCGGCTCCCCTCAGGGTTTGGAGGACCACATGCAGGGACAAGCCCTGCCCTGAGTTTGGAGACTCTTATTTCCCGGGAGGATTTGCAGGCACACTTGATTGCAGAGGAAGCTCTGGAGGGTTTGCAACCACCAGGAACATGGCAGTGGTGTCCTGAGGTCTTATTGGCCAGGAGGAATGACCAAAACGCACAGCAGAAGTCTGCTTCTAGACCTTGTTATGTGTGCACGCTCTGCCCCTCGGTAGCACCCTCCTCCAGCACAGGCCTTGTCCATGGGAGTTTCAGCACCTTGGTGGAGTGTCCAGCTTCACATTGACCTCAGCGCTTCCTCATGACATCATGAGGTGCTTCAGGAATTGCTATTTTTAATATTCCCTCTTGGGAAAGGAAGCTTCCGTGCCCTCCTCCTTCACCCTGGTCACAGCCCCCTCCTCCTTCACCCTGGTCACAGCCGTAGGCTGCAGCCCCTCACTTCCTCTCCTTACAAGCTCTGTCTCCTTCCAGCTTCCTTTTCCACTCTCACCATGAAGTTTAACGGTCTCAATAAACTTTTATCCCACCTTTTATGCGGTTGCCACTAAATCTCTTAGGCGTAGTTTTAATGACTTGCTTTTACACCTTTCCAAATTGCTCTCGGCACTGTGGTAGGGACCGGCACCTGACTCTTTTCTGAAAGATAATGACTCTTCAGCACTATATCCTGTTACATCACCCTGGGATGTCTGCTTAGAAAGAACCTCAGGGATAAATACAAGTCCTTCCTGTCACAGTTCCTGGGAGCTCCTGTTCTTTGAGGGCTTAAAGGCACAAGAACTATGTTTTAGAAACATCTTCCAGCTCATGATGACATTTACCTCCTTGAACTTGAACTCACCTCAGTACCATTCACATGACAGTTTCCTTCCTGTGGGTGACACCACATGGGAGGACTTTCTGTAGGTCCTGCAACTTACACTTAACTCTTCCAGCATCGAGCACAGTGCTGGACCAGGCTTCAGTGGGGAGATGTGGAACTGAGTTTCAAAGTGCTTTGCATTTTGTTGCTCTTTGTGGCCTTCTTTTGGGGGGTCTTACTGTGTAATTAAAAGGAGATAAGAGCAGGTCCCCCAGATCAGGACTGTGACTGCATTTGGGGATGGGGCAGCTACCTGTAATATGCTAAAGTTACTGTACCTGAGAGCTAGTTAGCTCTCCTACAGAATCTAAAGAGGGTCTTTGACGGAGGACTTTATACAAACTATTCAAATACTTTTCCATTAGTACTAATTCATGCACTGCAGTTGGTACACAGTTCATTAGCCGTCTACTCCAAAATACAGCTGATTACAGTACTATCCCAGGATGATTACTTCAATGCGGTCCTAGTGTTAAAAACACATTCTCTCAAATTAAATTGCTTATAAAATGCATGGCCAGAGACCTTTAGGGCAGTTTCTGTTTTCTGATACTTAATTCTGTGCATTGTCCCTAGTGTGTTTATGTGGCCAACACTGACTGTAGCAACTTTTGGGGCAGTCAATCTCTGTCCCAGAGTTTACATTAAAATTCTGTATTTCACAAAGAACATGACTGGTAGATGTCCCATAACAAAGGTGGCCAGGCTGTCCTGTGAGATGGCCAGTTAAGCTGTCTCTTTACTACAGGATCCCTTCAAGCCCCTGATTCTATAATGGGCCTTGTCAGGGGCTCTGCTGATCGGGAGGGAGCTACTGCCAGGTGTTGGTGGAGCTGAGGAAGACAAGAAGCCAAAATGGAAAGAGCAGCCCAGCCTTCCGTCACTTACTGAAGTGGTACGAGTCTGAACTGGCTCCCCCTGTTCCACGAACCTGTAAGAACACAGGAGCTGAGGGTCAGTTGGGCCAGCAGACACAGCGTCTCTAATTGCTCAGGCAGCCCCAAACGAAAGGCTCTGCTCCTATTACGTACTGGGGCAGGGGTAGTGCTAGGAAGGTCCAGGCTACTGACCAGTGGAGAAAGTGTCCTCTCCCTGTAGAGAGGCATCCTAAGACATCCCTGGCTAGGGATGTTTAAGAGCACCAGCTCCAGCAGCCAAGGGTCCTGAGTCCCCACAGCAGCTTCCCCGAGACACAGCAATGCCCAGCTGTTGCCCAGGTCTGCCAGGTAAGGCATCTGCAATTGCCCAAGCTGAAGGCAACTTGGAAGATCACACAGAGGCTTTGGGCCAGGAGCCTTCTCCTCATGCCCCACGCCTTCCAGGAGAATGGTGTACAGGGTCCTTCCCCAAACACCTCTCACCATGGATTTGGTTATTTCATATTTCTTGGGACTGGTGTCTCGTCACAGAATTACCAGTCTTTGTACTTGCAACTCTTCAAAGCATGGACTCAATTATGCAGCATTTCCCCTAAACATACAGATTCTACCAGTGGTGTTTCCTTTGGTGTAGATAAAAATTCGAACAGCTGGGCCTTTTCTTCAGTGCTCATTTGCTATCAACCTGCAAAATTCTCTGGTGAGCTGCCCCGGAGTTCTGTCTAAATGTTGGTTGGGTCAGCTCGGGTTGGAGTGGTTTTTATGGGATGTCCTGAATCATCAACAAGGAGTTCTCTGTTCAGAGTGACCCGTGACTCCTCACCTGGTGTTTCCTGACATCCACCATTAAGGCAATGGGGTTCTTGTGGCAACTGGTGTGATTGGTGTGTGTGTGTGTGTGTGTGCAAGAGAGAGAGAGAGAGAGAGAGAGAGAGAGAGAGAGAGAGAGAGAGAGAGAGAGAGAGGTTCTCTTTATTCCCCACAGCTTTGGAGGGAATGCGTACCACTTTGGTCTGTAATGACCCAGCCTTGTTTATTCAGCAGATTTAATGGCTACATTTCAGTTCATTTATTTTCACATTAAAATCCTTTTGTACTCGCTACAGGGAATTGGCAGGAGACCTGGTCTTGGGAACCACTCATCAGTTCAGATGACTCCCCTGTCTTTGGGTCATCATTCAAATTGCAGCAAGGTGCTTTGTTCTGGGAGCCAGATTTCCCAATTGGTGTGAATGTGTTTCTGTCCCAGGTAGTTAAAGCTTATGAAAAATCCATCCACAACTGAAAGTTCACTAAATGCATCTTTACTTACAAAGCTTTTTTATTTATATGCATAATATCTGATCACAGATTCGTTTTACAAAACCAAGCAGGTCCAGTGCAGGAAGGATTCTGTAAAGTAACAACTGGGGATTTCAGGGAACTTCTTGATCATGGCATTCTTCCTTCTAAGGAAATCTTTTGAGGAATGCCAATATCAAAAAAATCAGAGTGGGTCACGTTTGAAGGGTGGCAATGCCCTGAGGCCCTCTTCTCTGGGGTCTCTGCTCTAGTGCTCTCTGCTTAGGGAGATTTGTGGTCCAACGTGCTGTTTGGGCCCTCTAAGACGACATTCTTAATGATACCCAAGGGCTTCCCAGTTCAGGATTTCAGCCACCACATCAGCAGTGGCAGCAGGATGTTTAGTAAGTGCTCTTGGGGACAGGCTGCCTACTTGGTACTTCATGCAGGTCCTCTCACTTCA